ACAATAGTATGATTCAATATATAATCCATATATGCTAGATCTGAAGGGAAAAAATTGTGCAAATAAAAAAGTAAATAAATCCAGTGACCGAATAATCACTGTCAGTGTAACCACCTTCCCCTTTTTCCCTGCACATTTCCACCTGAATTGAATATGTCCTATACTACTATCGCAAATTCATGCAAATATGACATGGAAAAACCACAACATTTCTAGTAAATGTTTCACTGTGACCATTAGGCCTTAAAAAAATCATTTCGCAGCTAAGCACATTGTAAATACACTGGACATATTTGTCAGTGAGAGTGTCAAACATCAGTCAAGATTTCAATAAAAGAGAAGCTAATCAACATCACCCAACAGCTAGAAACCTCAAGCATAACAACATGTAGCTGCAACCAAAACACAATAGGAATATCTGATGACGAGAGGCCCATGCAAATGTATAATCGGAATCAAATCTAAAAGAAAATGAAGAAAAAAGTGTACGAAGGTCGAGAAATGCAGTTTCTCATAACAAAAAACTTAAGACAAAACGATTTTACATAGCCACAAATCTACACACAGTTTATGCTTTGAAGAACAAATATTCCACTAAAGTATATACGTGAAGGATAATCTACACATTACTCAGAGGTACCAGAAACGCATAGCAACACGCAATTACTCAGTAAACCTACTGATGAAATGTATAATCGAGCGGGTCTACGAATTAGAGTACTGGCCGTACGATCGACGAATTTGCTTACCGGAAATGGATCTGGAATTAAAAAGACTGAATTAGCGGCGAGATCGGGGCGGATAGGGCTTGGCAATTGCGATGAGGAAGATGCGTGCTCTAGAGAGAGAGGAGAAGTAAACAGAGAGGTCGCGGGTTTGCCCGATATTTCGGTTTAGCGGTGAAAGATACAACGGAAGCCCGGCAGCTTTGCGTTCACGTGGCCGGGAGTAATGGCTTTCATTTAGCATATATACGAGTCATAATTTATTTTATGAGTATTTATTTATGACAATAAGGGGAAATTAAGGAGATAATCAAATAGGATAAAAATGGAGTCCTCACTTTAGATAATCAAATAGGATAAAAATGTGGACATACTAATTTAAATGGGATCAAATATTAGATTAAATAAGAGTAATAGGTGTAAATTTCATTATAATCATCGCAAACCTTCACCTTCATCTTTTTTCATCCGCCACCGCTCATCGCGCTTGATGTTTCCACATGTCACCTCAGTCATCCTTGCCCCTCGAGCATATTCGAATCATCAGAGTTGTACGCTTCATTGAAAATTGTTAGAGAAAGATGGAACGTAAGTGTTTCCTAGTAAAAGATTGAATCTAGTGAAAAGCTGTTTACGAGTAAAATTCAGATATAACGTAAGTGTTTCCTATTTAGGTATTAAGCATTTGATAGATTTAGGTAATAACCCTTTCATTTGTGTCGTCGATGTTCATCGCCTTGGCCGCCATCGTTCACCGCACTTGATGTTTCCCCATGTCACCTCAATCATCCTCGCCCCTTGAGCAGATTCAAATCATCAGAGGCGTACTCTATATTGAAAATTGTTAGGAAAAAATGGATGATAGGAAAAAGATCAAATCTAATGAAAAGTTGTTGACGAGTAAAAATCAAATACGGAGTATAACATGAGTGCTTATTTAGGTATTAAAGCATTTTGAGAGATTTAGATAATAAACCCTTCATCTTCACCGTCGTTGTTCATCACCTTGCCCGCCACCGTTCATTGCACTTGATGTCGCTACACATCACTTTAGTCATCATTGATCATCGGGTGTAAGTGTTTAACAAAGGGATCGAAAAGCAGGTGTGCGTTGTTCGAGATGCAACTACATAGGGAATAGCTAGAGAGAGATAGTTTTCGAAGAGAAAAGGTGGATCTAACAAAGAGCTAGTTTATGAATAGAGACTCAACGTAATATAAAGACTTCCTACTTGGATATTAAAACATATGTGCTACATTTTTATGGAAATGTTAAAGGGTGTGAATATACTAAGGGAGTCCCGTTCCTATACATATGGATGTACAAGAACCTCCGTACAGACAAAGCCATCAGAGGTTCTTCCCGGTGGAATTTTTTGATAATTTTTGTTGAGCATATTCTGAATCAAGTCTAGTTTATGCATATCAAATTTAAGCTCAAAATTCTATCAGGATGGCAGTTAAATAAATTATTGAATAAACCTACACTTTTATATGTATACTTTGGCATAGTTTTTCTCAATAATATGTTTGATTGCCTTCTCGATGGAGTTTTAAGCTGAAATTTGGTAGATATAAATCATACTTGATGAAGAACATGCTAAAAAAACTTCATCAAAAAATTCCACCGGAAAGGGCCTCTGATGACTTTGTCCGTATGGAGATTCCTATACATCCATATGTATATGAATTGTTCTCTATACTAGGGAGATACATATATGTGGTGTAACGATGATATGACTACTTTTAATCATGTGAAAACTAATAAAGACCTTTGCACTCTCTTAAAAAATGTTAATTGAGATTCAAGTCCTTGTACTATCGAATTACCCAATCAACCCAAGCTATAAAAATATCCACTACCGCTTTTTAGCCATTCAGAGCATCTCCAATGGTTGCTTCTAGGGACTTGCTTGCAATTTTGAAGCTACTAACTAACCGTTGGAGCATTGTTCTTCCTTTTGCTTGAGAAAGCTAATTAGCCTAAATGAGCTACTAGCTTGAGTAAGTAGAATATTAAATATAGCATTATAAATAATAAATGAAGATGAAAAAGTTATAGCTAACCATTGGAGTATATTTCAATTTTGCTACAAAAGCTTACGTGGCTAGTTAAGCTATGAGAGCAATTAGCCAACCGCTGAACATGCTCTCACATACCGATTGTCCCGTTAGTGGCTGAATGTGTTCACCCAAGTGGTGTAACTTTTTCTACTTTTGGAAAATCTTTTATGATATGTGGTTATAATGTGGCAAGCTGGATTGAAATCCTAAATGGTGGTAAACCTAACGTTCAAAATTGTAAACGTAGAATATGAATCGAGAGATGTTGTCGATGGTAGGGGCGTGCCCTTAGTAGTGGAGTAGCAATAGTGCAGTAGAGGAGGAGCACAATTACCATAAACTTCACAACAACCCCACTCCCATGTCAGTTTTCACTCAATTTGTGCCTCCTATTGTTGTGAGTAGTTAACATGTGATTGTTTACTTAAAGCATGTTTGGTGGTTTAATACTTTCAAACTAACAATTATCAAGATGGTTGCAAGTCCAAAACTAATTATTCACCATGAAGTGAACTTTGTTAGTACTCAGAATATGTACATAGGTGCTCAAAATTGATAGTGTTGAAATAGATTGAGATTACATAGACGTTGAGGAATGTCTTATATGTATTCAAGAGAGTATTGTGGTTATTGAAATAGCGTGAACTGCCTTTGAAGCTCCTGCAATCTTCCAATGGATTTATATGTACTTTGCTCGAGTCAAAAGGGGTTTTCTAGATGGTTGTAGGAAGCTCATATGTTTAGATAGTTATTTCTTAATAGACCAGTTGTGTTTGAGATACTAACTGTTGTGGGTAGCGGCGGGAACAATCATCTTTATCCAATAACATGAGTTGTTATTAAAATGAAGAGCAATGTGTCTTAGTCTTGAACATGAGAGGTTTGTGGGTTGTTATCAGTGATCAATAGAAGGTATGTCACATATTACTTGAAGTGACATCATTTAAACTTTTAAATTGTTGATAAATCATTAACCTTTCATGTCTATCTATGCGGGGATTGTCAAATGTCATTGCACAGGTCTTCACTGAGTGTGAACATCTAAACATTTCAAGGCATATCTATGCCAAGTGGAGCAAGAAACATAGAGAAACGGTTCTAAGTAAACTATTATGGAGGTGTACAAAGTTAAAATGTGAAGAAAAACCAGAAAATACATTAATACAGCTAGATAAGGCAGACCCCCGGCTTGAAGAGGCTGGCGTAAGTATCCTTTCAACTTGTTTAGCAAGCCTACTTTAATGAGTGGAATGGTGAAGGAAATAACTAAAAGATGAAGTATGTTATAAAATGGTAAAGTAAATCAATTGTCATTTGAGTTTGATTACTAACTTTGACTTTGTTTGACTAATAATAGTCAGTTTGTCTGTATTTAACTTTTAATAGTTACTTTTGATGTATTTGACTTTAAGTAGTCAGTTTGGGTGTATTTGACTTGTAGTAATCACTTTGTATTTGATTTGTTATGGCCATTTTTAATTGGACTGGATATAACTTCTTTACTCAGCTTGATTGTATTTGACTTGTTATATTCACTTTGAACTTTAATAATGCCTTTGACTTTCAATGAGAATGTTTAGTCCAATCATAATGAAGAAGCTTAATAAGAACATAGTAGCTAGTCATGGTTGGCATATAGATTTTAACTGGTGTGGTGGCTATGAGATTAAGGGTAGGCAATAGTTCATCGTAAAACAAGATTGTGGAGTGGCCAAGACTTTTAGGTTATCTTGTATTTTTATATGGGCAAGATAGCTTAATTTGTCTGTTCTGCAATATTTCATTATTTGTGTGCTCGTTTGATTGCTCGTTTGATCTTTATTGGCTGTAATCTATATTAAGGATTGTGATTTCATCTAACAAGATTAACATAATAGGAGTAAGTTTAGGTCTATATGATGTTAGTATGTACTTTTTTTTTCGTCGCCACTTTGAAGGAGCTTAACAAAAATATATGGATTCAATGTCATCCATCATCTTATTATAACCTGGACATGTTCTCTTACACTTATTTTCGTATAATATGATCTAGGTAGGTTTGAATCAATACTCTTGTAGTCTCGTCTGGTGTTAAATGCAGTAGACAGTAGTATTATACTGGTATGTTGAAAGTCTGGGATGATACTCTCGTCTGGTATATTGTACGTAGTAATATGCTGCTGGATATGATTAAGTTGAATGTATCGTATACAAATAAATCTTTTTGTTACCCCTATTATCAATTATCACCTGACTTATCAGCTTGTTTGACAAAAAAGAAAAATAACGCTGCCAAACAAAACCAGTATACTTCAGAATTGAAAGCATCAACTTTAAGTGTGAATGAAATAAAGGTGTTCAAAGTAATACATCCGCTGATAACAGATATTTTACTGATTACAGATAGTATGTGTACATAGAGAAGTTTTAGTGCAGTTTGAGGTTGGTAAAGATGTTATTGTTTACAGGATCAGCCAAATGATCTAAAAGGTTCTGGTAAGGTCCAACTCTGGTCACCAAAGCTTGGACGAAGTAGCCCAAAACAGCCAACATAGCCAGCCTTCCATTCTTGATTTCCTTAACCTTCAAGTCCTTCATTGACTTTGCATCTTCCCCGAAGCCGAGCGGGTTGAAGATGGGACCACCAGGGTAGGCTGGGTCACCTGACCCACCTAGCCCTTTCTCTAACCCCAAGAAGTACTGTTTTCCCATCGAACCCGGGTTATTCCAGTCCTGCAACCTCCTGTGCTCAGCAAACCCCATCAGAGCCATCTCAAACACAAACAGTGTGTAAGGGTCAGCCCAATAGTTGTATGTTCCTGCAGGTGGGATGACTCCAGTTTGGAACCAGGGGAGGGCAGTTTCAGCTGGAATGAGGCCAGCCTTCCCGAGAATCTCTGGTGCTATAGCCCCTGCTGCCCCTAACATGGCGTACCGGCCATTGATGATCTCTCCATATGCGAGCCATTTTGGCTCCATGAAACCTCCTTGTCCTTCAGGGTCTGATAGTCCCAGTGGGTCAAACCCATAGTCTCCAGGGAGGCTGTCATCATTGATTGTGAATTCTTGGGTCATAAATTTGATCACAAAGAACAATGTCAAATGCATGATGCATTTGAGACCTTAAGATGTCTATCCGTTGACGGTAAGCATGTACAATTCACTGGTACAAGAATTAATTTATGAGTCTCAAATGACCCGTGCATTTAGCCCCAGGTCCCAAGTAACAAAGATAGCATCTTTGTGCTCTCTTTGAATGGAAGATACTTTTTATCTAAAAGTCAAACATGGTAGGAATAAAGAAGCAAACCCATCTTGAAATCTATGTGTTTTTTAAATCTTGCCATGTCGAATAACTCCATTAGATGTAAGATTGTATCGTTCATTGGTGCAGGAATTGACTGATGAGCCGTGCATATAGATAGGGTCACAAGGGTCGGTTTGAAGGAAAGGTACTTAGACTATATCTGAAAGTAGATAAAAGAAAGGGGCAATTGCCTTTTTCAGTCTTACCATATTAAAGTTACTCCTATCTTAACATATAGGGGAGCAATGAAGGAAAGACCTTAATGTGAGTTTCTGTTCTTGTTTTTTGAGGGTTATCACTTAACATTAGAAACATTGTATTTACCTTCCACATTTAAACTTTCCACCCAAACAGACCCTTAAAGCAATTTTACCTTCCATCCAAGTAGCTCAGACTCTGCCTGGATGCAAACCAAAGCGGCCTATTTGCACCTTGCTGTGATAAAAATGTAAATTGAGGATGAAATAATATTGTTAATAGTGGATGAGAGAAGATTGGAAGAGCATTTGATAGGAAAATAAGTCAACTTTAATATGCTGAAATTCCAGATCAAGTAAATGTGATGAATTCAGTCAGTACAAGTAGTTGAACTTCAGTTCCACAGTAGTAAAGTTCAAACTTCACCAAATAGCCACAGAGTACACCCTCCAAAAAAAGATGCTGATGATGAAATCAATAGTGCAGCTTGGGGACAATCTTTCAGCAAAAAAACTTTTTCTTGTGTAAAAAATTACTCCCAAAATTTCTATGGAAAGCCATTTCTTTATCCAACAAAAAATAATTAGAGAAGCCTCTACCATTGGAAGAGGGAGAGTGAGGCACCTTAACAGGAGGAGTAGAAGCAGCCCTGACCAGAAAGGTAGGCTTCCTGGGTGAGTTGACAGGCCATCTTCCACCAAGTATCTGTCTTGAAGCTGAAGAGGCAATGGATGATGAAGAGATGAGAGTGTGTGTTGCCATTTCTTTTATCTTTTATTTGTGATGATAAATGAGTTGAATGTGGTGTACCGGGAAGAATCAAAGAGGAGAGGTGGCAAATTATGGCCAAGCCTAAGCCACCAGAAGTGTTTTGTGGATCACAGTGAAGAAACAAAAAATGTGGACTACTGGACGATATAATTCCATACCATCTACTCCGTATTAAAGATAAAAATGGGATCTTGATGTCAAATAGAAAGATAACACGTGGGTTGATTGTCAAGATAGTATTGCATTCATCCTATCTAAAAAGAAAATTTTCAAAGCAAAAGCATGTTACGGAGTACTCCATATTTTTTGTTACAATTTTGAGTGCCTCATTTGTACCCCTTCTATATTTATTTATGGTTTCCAAAAGTCCAACAGGTTGATTTAATTGCTCTATTTTATTTTAATGAAATGCTTTTGTGAACCACAAACATAGAAGATATAAAATGGGACAGTTTTAGCATTTTTGTTTTTTAGCTCCACATAATCCTGACTTTTAAAAACAATTCGTTAGTTTCCCTCTATCATATATTCCTAATCATGCACAAAAAGTTACTCTTCACTATCTTAACTAATTTATTGTGTATGTACTCAAGTTCTCGGCAAAGCTCCCAGAAGAATCAACATTTATTTATCGAACACCATCGAGTTCCCACCAAAAAGCTAACTACTCATAGACTGCTGCTTCAGTCGAGACAAAACGTTAATTGGACAACTATTCAAGCTAGTCCCAAAATGCTAGAGGATCACCATTTGAGAAACCAACTCAAATTCACCTTCGTAGTGACTTTAACTCAAGACCTCTCTCAAAGGAATGATCTTGAGCCCATTTAATACCACTGAAATTGACAGAATCGACTTAATTAATTGAATCTGATGAATGATGGAAAAATTATACTCAGTATTTAAGAAACTCCTTTCATCCCATTTAAAGATTTTTACACGATTTACGATGTTTGACTGACCATGAAATGAATTGATCCTTATCTTTAATGATATTATTTTTAATAAATAAAATTTACAAATTCAAAAACTACATTATTATAAAGTCACAAAAAGAAAAAAATAAATTTGATAAAAGTCAAATATATAAAGTAAAAGATTAAAAATAATTTACATTGACCAAAGAGTAGTGAACGGAAGTTTTTAAGTGGAACAGAGGTAGTATATATTTTTATTAAGAAAATAAAGAACTATTATATGAAAAAATAGTTAAATGATTAGCTATAATAATTTCAATCAATTAAACCAGAAAAACAAGTTCAATATTAATTATTTTGATTATTAAGCAATCCAGTGCGTGAAATCAAAAGTTACGTATTTGGTAAAAAAAAAATGACTAATGACTAATATGTAGAAACACAGTCACCAAACGGGTCCCTTAAGTGTGGGTAGCAGACCAATTGGACAGCTCTTGTTGCAAAAGCATGTTACTTCAATGAAGGTGTATCAATTTAGAGCTTAGGATGTTTTTACTTGAACTGCTTGGTCCCTAAACATAACAGACCAGACATATTTAATACAGTGCAGAATTTTGGTAATGAGTCACAACTTCATTTAAACTCAACTTTTTGTCAATGTGCCTTCGTAATGAGATTATAAAGGGATGTCACTACATTCCCTGGACTTATAATTTCTAGCACTTCAATTTGTGCTTAAACATCCTTCTCCTCATGAATTTCCAAAAGTAACATCCTTCTCCAAACCTGTTTGATACTAACCATGAGGAACCGAGAGTGGACAATCAATGCAACATTAGGTATCTTCACACTTGCATTGTTACATTCAATATTGCTGCTCTACCGGTTTACCTAAGATAAGAAGAGTTCATCGATGATACTCTAATTACATAATTCCACGGCTACTATTGTACTGGCTCCAAAAGTAGAATCTCGCCTCCTGCCCCATAAACCACTCCACAGCCCACTCCAAAGCATGCCATGACGTGAAAATGAGGTACCCGGTAGTCTGTCTCTTAAGTGGGGAGGCCAAAACCCTAGTAATGTTGTGATGTCCCTAAACAAAGTAAAAGATGACGATGATATAACATTTACGCAATATTTCAAAGCTTTGGAAGTTCAAGTAGGTGGTTCAGTTTGATGGGATGCCACTGGGAAGGGTCAGTGCTGCCTCAGCTCAAAGAGAATCAAAAGTTTTCAGGGCTATCATCCAGCTGCTGCTCATCTTCTATATCAACCTCTAGGATTTCCTAATTATATACAACACAGATTATAAGTTAGACACTCATGCATCATGATGTGTATGCTTATTTCACAATGTCAACCTTGAAATGAGACATGACTGTATATAGTAACTATCTCAACTCATCTTCCACCTTCCCATGATAGTTTCAACCAGCTTTGTGAACAAAAGCATACGATGACAATGGAGGCAGTTTTGAAGTTTCGTTTCATCATTCTTTTGTAAAAGAGTTGCAAAATGACGTGTATACAGTGCAGAACTTTGTTACCATAACACTTTTTCATGATTTTATTATAGAGTCATACTACATGTGCAAAAGAACTTGAGTTTTCTAAAACAATACATTACAAGATCCTAATTTTCAACACATCAGTACCAATCAATTGACCCCATCATTTCCTAACTTCTGAACATAGTTTCGTATGAATCCTTCAATGGTCTTGTCTGGTCTGGATGTGGTATTATTTTCATTTCGATAAGGACCACCTTAAAGAATGAATAGGCAGTGATCTTATATGTGAATTTGCATCCTTTATATTGAACTGGTGTGGATTGATTCAACATATGCCATGAGATGACAAGTCTTTTGACTACCCATTTATCATATAGATCATTTAGAATGAAGCTTAAACCTTAATATTACAGCCATGCTTTTCTTTCTTTTCTCCAAAAATGGCCAAGCTTATTCCACTTTTTTTATTAGATTTGATCCATCAAATAAAATTGATGTGTGATTTAACAAATATAGTCCGGTTTAACCTTATACGGATTGACTTGATCTGATCTTATTATTCCGCTCTAATTTGGTCCAATATGGTCTGCTCATAAGTGATATTGTCTTGTTCATTCAAGCATAAGTTTGATTGATATTATTTAAATATTATGTACATTAATCCTACTTGTAACAATTTTCTTTACTTTGGTATATACTTATATCTAATTGACACTAAAATTCACATCACACACACCCCCAGTATGTCAATATAGTTGGCATTAAGCCAATAAGGTGATGTTAGTGATAACAGTGCCCAGAAAATCATATTAGAGCAAACAAAGTTTTGGTATACAGACATAGGTTTAAATCTTATATTCTTATACTGAACATGAAATGTGAGAGATTCTTACAGGGATTCTTTGCTTTAGGTAATTTCCAATCCTAGCTACAACAGTGGAACGTTTATGCCAAAACTTGCCACTCAGACTAATCTTCACGTACGGTCCATCTACTTCTGCCAGTTCTACTTTTCCTGTTTATAACACCCAAAAACCTCTTCTTATTAGAGCACCACTCGGGGGTATACAAAGTACAAACAAACCATTCTTGAAATCTCATGAAGAGGTTGAGGAATCACCTGTTATCCCAACTGAGGTATCAAACAGTTGAGCAAGCTGCGCAGCAAAAGAAAATGTCATGGACTACTAATTCAATTATTACTTCATAATGCGGTTAGAATGGAATCCTTGTACTCTTGTAGGGGACTAAATGGATATTTTGAAAGATCAAACCAAGTTGGAATTAAGAATTAAATGATTGTTCAACTATTTCAACTGTCAAAATCAGCTGAAGTTATATTGAGTAGGTAACCAAATGGGGTAAAACAGATAATTGAATTTTGATAAATCAGCTACTCAGAATAGTTACCTCTGTCCGAGCATCAACCAAGACCTGCTTGATATTGTCTTCAGTTAAATCGAGCGAGGCTGAAATTGCACGGTGGAAGGTAATCTTGCTTGATGACATCGGCCGCCGCTTTGCGCTCGGCGGAGACATCCCTTTCGTGCAACCATTCTTCTGTGTTGGGGCTGCAAGTGAGTGATGAAACTTTGAAAAGGTCGCAAGTGGCGAGAGATTTGGGAGGGGACATGGTAAGTGGCCGTACCGGGCAAGGTGAAGCTGAAAAGACGACATTTTTGTTACTTCTCGTTTTCTCCTTCGGAGACTTCATCAAATCAGTACTTCACCCACGGTTTTAATGTAGCTAATTTGTCACGCCAGATTAACTTACTTTTCTCAAAATAGGAATACCTAGTTTAAATAGGACTTTTTATTAGTGATTAGACCAAAATACCCCTCACAACCTTTACCACTGCTGCCCAGGGACTGCCGGACCGCCGCCTGCCTCCTGCCGCTGGCCGCCGCCGGAAAAATTCCAGATTTTTTTTCTGGAGGTTGGCCAACATCCTGCCGCCGGACGCCGGCGGCGCCGCCGGAAACCGCTGCCGCCGCCGGAAACCGCCTCTTCCGCTGCCGGCACCTCCGGACTGCCCCGCTACCAACGTACTGCCTTGGTTGTGCAAGAGAACTAGGGGGGCAATTAATTGGGTTAATTAATTGCCGGAGTTGCCGCCGCCGCCGGCCGCTGTCGGAGTGCTGCCGCCACCACAGACTGCCCGCCACCGACGGACTGACTTGGTTGTGCAAGGAAACTAGGGGGGCAATTATTTAGATCAATTAATTAATTAAATAGAATTAGGGGTAAAAAAGGTAAGGTTAGTCCTATTTAGAGAAAAACATGCATGTGGTCCTATTTTGAGAAAAAGGTTGAGTTTTAGTCCTATGTTGGACAATTTTCTCATAAGAAAAGTATTGAAGTGAGAACTTAATTTAGGTATTGTCCAAAAAGAAAAATGAGAACTTAATTTGGGAGACGGGGGAATAGTTTTTGGTAAATTAAGGGTGGTTTGATCCTCTTTATTATAATAGCTTCTGTTCCTTTGATGGTTTGATCCACTTTATTATTTATAATAGCTTCTGCTTCTTAGGAGAAAAAGCTTCTTATGAGAGAAGGAAGTAAATATTATAATGTTTGATTGAAAGTGTATAAATTGATTGGGAAAAGGTGCAAATAGGCCCATGTACTAACCAAAAAAGGTCAAATAAGCCCTTATTTAGAAAGTTCTGTCCGGCCGTCGTCATTTGGGGTGATTCCCGATGAATTTTTTTGGTGAAATTTTTTGAGCATCTTATTCATCAAGTCTAGTTTGCTCATACCAAATTTCAGCTAAAATTTCAATCGGGAAGGCATTCAAATGAATTCTTGAACATAACTGCGCAGTTAGAAGCGGAGTTATCTTCAAGAATTCATTTGAATGCCTCCCCGATTGAAGTTTTAGCTTAAATTTGGTATGAGTAAACTAGACTTAATGAATAAGATGCTCAAAAAATTTCATCAAAAAATTCCACCGGGAACCACTTCAAATGGCGACGGCCGGACAAAGCCTCCTAAATAAGGGCTTATTTGACCTTTTTTGGTTAGTACATGGGCTTATTTGCACCTTTTCCCTAAAAGTTTTAAATATATACTACATCTATTCCCCTAAGATTGTGACAAATCAGATGAGTGTGGTTTTTAATAAAAGTATGGTTATGTGATTGTACCGTATTTGGTAATATTGGTGTGGCTCTAATTCGTTCTTACTTAAAAAAATCAATTCATCACAATCACATAACTCTACTTTTCTTAAAAAATCACACCCATCTCATTTGCCACAATATTAGGAGGACCGAGGTAGTATATATTTACAACTTTTAATTAAAGCAAAATCAAAATCAGTTTTCAGAAGCTAGTCTTCCTGAACTTCTAAAAAATTGGTTTTATTAACAATTTAAAACACTACAAAGTATTTTGATACTTTCAATCAAACACTCTAATATCTGTTTCTTCTCTCTAAAAGATAGAAAACTATTTTCACAAAGTTTCATCACTCAGTTGCATGAAAAGGATGTCACCGGCGAGCGCAAAGCCGATGTCATCAACCAAGATTACCTTCCATCCCGCAATTTCAGCCTTGCTCGATTTAAGTGAAGACAATATCAATCAGGTCTTAGTTGATGCTCGGACAGAGGTAACAATTCTCACGCTATGATCAGATGGAGGAAAGATATGATGCTAGGAGGAAAGATATACTCCCTCTGTCCCACTAAGATCTTCCTGCTTTCCCTTTTTATCAGTCCCAAAATGAAGTTCTCATTTCCCTAAATGGAAAGTTATCCTACATCAAAACATTGTCAAACAGTGCAAAACAGTGTCAACAGTGCCAAACAGTGTCAAAACAATAAATTTTACTCCCTGATAAATTTATTGTCTTAATATGTGTGTAGGTCAAATTAAAAAGATCTTAGCGGGATGGAGGTAGTAATACTCTCACGCTACCATAGAAGATAGGAGTTTACTATTCAGTGAGAAGGGTTTATAAAATTAAAAGTTGAAGCAAAGGAGCTTGCGGAGGACTCCAAGAGTTTATGCGAATGATTGTTCGAAGGTTTTAACTTAAGCCTCCTTGAGCCTTATCTAGGAAGGTTTTAACTTAATCTTATACTTTCTAAGCCTAAACCTACCTTGCCCATAGAAGTTTGAGAGATGTATGCGAAACCAGCTCAGAGATGTTGGAGGGGCACATAATGAGAAAGGGAAGATCTCCGACAACTCGACAAGGCGGACGGCTTGCTACGGCCTCGGGAATTCCGATCTTCGGCAAGGCGGGCGGCGGCAAGAGCTTGTGCCCAATTTAAAGTAATGTCTTTCTTTATAAATAATTATTATATGTGAGATTGTTATGAGTTTATTTAAATAGTTTACGAAATGTCCTATTCTTTCATAAATTGTCGGCTCAATACATTCTTGGGATGAATTTTGTCTGCATTATGCTTCTTGAGAGAAAGGTATCTGAAACATTGGAGAACGTGCACAAGGTAGGCTATGGTAAGTTCTTTTCATAATAATGTCTTATTTCATGTATATTTTTGGAAATTCTCTATTTCCTCTTAACATCTTATTCACATTTTACTATGAGTTTTTTTACATACTACCTCCGTCCCAAATTGATTTGCAAATTTGACTTTTCTTGATCAAACAATTTCATTTTATTTGCTTAATTAGGATGTCAATTTTTAATTATATTCTAATTTGGAGATTACAACTTTGAAGGGATTTTAATGTAGTTCCAGAATATGTAAATTTGAATTATTAAAAATTGAATTAATTGTCGATAGGGAGGATTGACTTTTATTATTGGTTGACCTAAATTTGTTGACTTTGCAAAACAATTTGGGACGGATGAATTATATATTACCACTATTAAATAGATAGACAAAAAAGTAAGTAACTGGTACTATGGTTATGTTTGGAAGACATAAGTCTCTGCCTTCTAGCTTTTGTACTATTTAAAAAGTCTTTAAAAGCTTCTACTTGTTTGTTTGGTATAACAATTTTTAAGAGCTTTACAAAAAATAAAAGATCTTTTTTTAGATGCTACAAGGAGTAGCATCTGAGAAAAACCTGTGATTTTAAGCATTAATTAGTCTCAATAGCTTGTATACCAAACAGAACTAAACCAAACAGACAACTTTTTACAAACATCTATCACTTTTTACCTTTAAGATCTTTTTAGTCACTTAAAGCTTATAGGTACTAAAAGCCTGTCAAAATATTTTTTCAGCTATTTGCTACAAATATACCCATAAAGTTGCTAGTTACCTATCATGCCGAAGAAGGTGGCTGAATTTGTGGAAAATTTATATAACCGGTGCTAAGAGCATCTCCAATGGCTAGCTATACATGGTTCGGCTTTGCTTGCCACATCAGTCTTTTCTGGCTAATACATTTTCCAACAATGTGATGCTCCAATAGTTAGCTGCAATGTTTCCCTCTTGGGTAGACCCCACAAATGACCAATCAATCAATTTTTAAAACACATATTTTGAACGAATTGATGTATTAATTCAATAAAAATAATACTTATTCTTAAATACTACTCGTATTAAATTGGGAAAATGTTAATAATATTTTCAAACCCATCAATTATCAGTGCTAGGGATAATATGAAAATGCATATTTTTAAAATTAATATAAAAAATGTATTTTGTAAGTTAAAAATTTTTGAAACAGGAAACTTTAACAACACATACATACCGAAAAATATCAACTTTACATACTTTATGAGAAAATTAAAGATTTCTAAAAATTAACAAATAAAATAAATATAATTAATTAAACGATATCAATTCAAAAGAAATAAAAACCACTTTTGGGTCCTGACAATTGCATTGCACTACTTTACTTTACTGTTAGATTTTTAATTAATTTAGTATTCCGATCCCTCCGTCTTATTCAAACGTTTCCACTTTCTTTTTTGGACGTTCCATATAAATATTCTCATTTCTATTTAAAAAAATAATTCACACTCTTAAACGTAAATTTAATAATAAAATATTATAAATAATACATTTTTAACATCACAGTTATCATCAATGACCTCATTATATTATATACTCATCAAACTTATTTTTCAGAGTATACTCGAATATTTTTATTGATAATTAACTGAGTCATTTTATAATGAAAACCTTTAAGCGGGAGTGCGGGACGGAGGTAGTATATCAATTATCCAATGGATTAAATATATTTGGTAATACCATTTTAGTTCAAACTTCTCTTCTCTCTAGCAACTAGCTTGTATTGGCTAATTTGCTTGTCCAAGCTAGAAGGAAATATGCACTCCAGTGGTAGGCTACTAGCTTGAATATTTTTAAAAATTGTAAGCAAATCCTTAGGAGGAACCATTGAAGATGCTTTTAGTAGCGGAAAAATGGAGAAAAATATTCAACAATTTATTAACAACGTAAGATTAATAGAAGATGATTCCAGGCCGGGCAAACTGGCAAAGGATCAATAAAGCACATGAGCAAGAGCTTTTGAAGATAAATGTTCTTCGGAATCTGATTATGTATGAAATTCTATGAGTTGATGACAATTTATTACTCCCTCCGTTGCGAAAAGGTCGACCAAATTTCGTTGGCCAAATTTCCTTTTATGGATGTCTCAAAAATTTGTCATTTCCATTTAAAGTAAGAAATATGTGGCTAAAGTTAACTCTCTCTCCTCTGCACAAATTTCAACCCCACAATTTTTACTTTATTAATCCACGTGAAAGTCAACTTTGGCTAACAATTTCGGGACGGAGGGAGTATTAGGTTTGATGGTTTA